TTGAGATAACGATTTATTGGATTTCCCCTTGTCTAACATGATATATACAGACAAATAAAACTTGCCATAATAATAATAATAATAATAAAAAAAAAAATAATAATGATAATAATAGTAATAATAATAATAACATATATGGCTTATATAGTACTTATAAACGTCTGTTCTAAGCTCTTAGTAACATACGTAAATGAATAAATAAATAAGATAGATAATATGATTATAAAGAAAAAGCTAACTTAAATAAATGAGTCTTGAGTTTAGACTTAAATAAAGATAAACTGGAAATATCTCTAATTGAAGAAGGTAAGGAGTTCCAGAGTAGAGGAGCAGCAACCGAGAAAGAACGTAGACCATAATATGACTTGAGATTATAAGCTTTTGAAGACAGCAACAAGTGACAAGACGAGCGAAGATTTCTAGCAGATTTGTGAATGGTAATGAGTTCTTGGAGGTTCTTCTTAAGTAAATGTGCTTAAGCATAAGCATGTACCTCGTTCTTAAACGCACAAATAAATACTACTGATTCACTTCGGAAATGGTTTGCTTTGGCTATATGGAACAAAAAAAAAAAAAACAAACAAAAAAAACAAAAACAAAAAAAACAAAAAACATCAATCACGTGAAAGGACGCGAGGGAGCAAACAAGAAAAAATGCAAGGTGCTTAATTTTACCCCTTTGGTTCAGCACACGGCAAAGCCATTGGAATAGGCCGGAACTTCTCTCCCTACATGTGATTATAAACTGGACAGTAATGTCTCAATCATTGACATTAGATAAAGTGATATAGATATTTTTAGACTATCTCGGACAGATGACAAATTGGACTTTGTTTGCTTTTTCGAAAATTAAAGCCGACATCGCGCTACTTTAGATTGTGCACGCGAGATGGCAAGCTTAACGGGGCTGAAAAACGATTCATTCGCTTTGGTCACTTGCAGGTTCATTTGCTTGCTATTTAAAAAATACCTATAGTTTTTTTWAAAATCCCAAAATTAGCTACAAAAGTGAAGAGGATAAGGCAATTTAGAATTCTGGGAGGTTAAGGGATAAAAATTATAATCTATTAACCAATGCATAAAGTTTGTTTTTTAATTGTATTTTGTATTGTATTTTTACAAATTTTAGAAAATCGATTAGAACCTTGTTTTAGTTTTTATTGTTTGTACTAACACGATTTTTCCTAAAAATGACCATTTTTCTGTTAGATGCAAAATTTTCCAGCCGCCATGTCTTTTTCTTATTCTTGAAAAATTTGGCGCATGCGCGTGTGTTTTTCAGCCCCATTGGCCTGTCAAGCTTTTAATTTGATCTTACGCACATTCCTGTGAAACTAGTTACCATTATATTCCCGTTACGGTGATCGTGAAGTGTCATGCAACATTTCCGGACCTGAGGTGGTATTAGATGTCGTACAATGCCTCCCGTGGTATTGCCTGATATTTATCACATTTGCATCGTTGCTGCACCGAAAGAATTTCAAACAATTCTTTCTAATTTCTCGATTACGCCAAAAATAAATCAGTGGATTCGCGGAGGAATTCATCAGAATGGCGGTCATTGCGAAGTTGGCAGCGATGATGCCTTTGGTGGCATCACTGAAGCCGATAGCAGTTTGTACTATGACGGTTGGTAGAAGAAACACGACCAATGCTCCCAGGACGAACATGATTGTGATGGTGGCACGCTTCTCACGATCGTAAATGACCTTTGCATTGTGATCAGAAATAATCTTGTCGTTGTTTATTCTGATGTATCGGATAGTAGCAATTTGAAGAGTTAGGAGAGTTGCCAAGAGTACCACAGCAAATGTTGTGTTGATCGTTTGGTTAATGTTCTCTGTGAACAAGGAGTATTTCAGGATCACAAAGATGATCCAAAGAAGCCAAAGAAAAGCCAGCTTTCGCAGGATGTTGGAGGTGGAGACTCGGCTGGAGTACCTTACTGGTTTGGATACGGCGAGAAACCGATCATAGCTGATGAAGGTTAAGGTCAAAAACGATCCTCCAGTAGAAATGAACAAAAACGCTTCGTACCAGATGTGGATCACTTTTGACGTGCACGTTGTGGACAGGTTTTGGACCATGACTCGCCAAGTGATCATGAGCGGTTGTGTAATGAGTCCCACCAACAGATCAGTGATGGCAAGGCTGCATAGAAGAATGTTTGATGGGGTGTGAAGCTCCCGTGTGCGGATTACAAGAAATAACACCAGCGCGTTACTAAGCACCGCGAACACTGCAAATGGACAGTTGATTACTATCAGTGCGATGTTCATGGCATAGCGATGTTTGGGCGTATCGCTGATGAACACGTCCAAGCAATACATAGACGAGGTGCTGTTGTTTGATGACATCATCATAGAAGAGGGACTGGTTAACTCGTTATAGTTTGGAAGCGAGATACTGGGAAAAAGTTGCTTTTTGACTTTTTTCCTGTTTGTTTTGGATCAGTGTCTTCCAGTAGAACATGAACGATCACCCGTTTCTAATTACTAAAGTTCTAAAAACAAAGCAAAAACGAGAACGATAAGTAACGGGATAAATGACGAACAGAAGTGATTGGACGATTTGAAAGAAGAATATTAGCAATACTGACAATAAAAACCCCAGTAAGGTTTTGTCAAACAACGACAAAAAATTGCAAAACAAGATATAAAGTAAAAAAAAAAGATGATGATGATGATGATGATGATGATGATAATAATATACATTTATTGACAAGCATCTCAAAATCTCGATGCGTTTACAAATAGCGTAAAACAAAGTTAATTATTGTCCTCAAGTCGGTATGGATATTAAAAACCACTGTTGATATCCAACACCTCGGGCACATTTTTTCCTATTCGGGCCTCCTCGGACAGGTAAAAAAGAATATACATATATATAGATTGTAGATAGATCAAATACAAGACATCACTTTAGCTGTTAATCCGAGTTTCACGCTTACGCGATCATCAGCCAGACTTTAATGACTTTTACTTAGGTGGCCTATATATACACGGTCGGCGACATCTATATTTAGTGTGATTGCATAATTAAAACGATCTATCTATCTATCTATATATATATTTAGAAAACTCATTAATAATTCATGAAGAAAACACAATAGAAATCATGACCATGAAGGTGATTTTATATCTGATAAAGATTCGTCTTCATTTGCATAAACTTTAACTTGGATTTTCTCTATCAAACTTGGTTCATTTTCGTAAAAAAATTGGTACACAATGAGAACAAACATCATAAGTTTTCTAAGCCGTTCAATAATCTCGCAGATCGTGGTTTATCGGGTCTAAAACCACTCGGCTGCGCCTCGTGTTTTATACCCGATAAAACACTCCTGCTCGTTTATTAAACATTACATATATAACGCGTAAAAAGCAAAATGGAGCAACTAAACAAAAGGCAATTAATTTGGAAACCAGGCTAAGGGATAATGGATTTGGCAGTGAAGCATTGATAGTGCCGCTTTCTACCGATGGCCATAACATTGGCTCTAAAATCGGGTTAATTTTTAATTTGATAATTATGATGAAGATTTTGTAAGATACCCGAAACTGATCAAAACAAAACACGAAATTTACAATGAAAAATTGGTATAACTTACAATTGTCAAGTTTTAGTTTGGTAGCAGTGTGCGTTAGAATCGTAATCTTTTAATGTCCACAATATAAGAAATATAAGTTTCCAAACGCGGAGCTTCATTTTGAAAATACTTCATTCCCTGTGAACTTTCTTTCTTACCAGATTATCTCTTTCTTGCCCCAGTAATTCGTCAACTGTTTTATTATAGCGAGAGATGGGACGTCCTACTAGTCAGAGTTCTAGAGCCGACCTAGCTTGCTTTGACATCCAAGGTAACGTTTTCTCTGAATAAGCCTTAAAAGTATATTCTCTACTTTCACATCCCCATAATGCCTTGCGTCTTTGGAGGGTAACCAAACAAAAACCTGTCCCAAATTGAAAGGTTTCTTAATTGAATTTATGCTATATATAACTGCTTTTATCTGTACAATACTGATTATCAGTTTATTCCAAATTATTTTTGCGTGTACAGATCATCAAGAGTTTTGGTCTTACAGAAAATGTATTGACTTACGAAAAAGTTTTAAAAATTTACCTTAAACGTCTTCGATCAAGCTTCTATCTTTTTCTGTTTTTTACTTCTTCATTTTACTTTTGGATACCAAACAAGGTATTGTCAACATTGTCTGATCAGCCTTCAGCAAAATAAGTTGGTTTTTACCCTCTGGTTACCCCCCCGAAACACGCAAAGTATTATGGGGATGTSAAAGTAGAGAATATATATTTACAAAATATACTTAAGCGCTATTATACAACCTGTCATCTTAATTGTTCTTAGAAGAGAATTTTGGTTTGATTGGTTAAATGATTCTTTGTGCCAAAAAGGTAAAGGTTTCTATATCTTTTGAATAAGTTACTAAGTACATCCCTTTCCTGGTTCATTTCCTAAAGGATAAATTTCAAAAGACATACAGTAGATGAAGTGCCATTATGGATTAAGAACTGAGAGCAAGTCAACTAAAAGACAAACTGGTTCTTAGGTGTTGTCAGTTTGGCCTGACAAATTGCAATTAATAGCCTTAATAAGTTTGTTTGCGTCATGTGGCTAATCTCGATTTAGTCCATTTTTAATTCCAATTTATTCCTCCCTTGTCTTCCTTGATGTATAGGCTTCTATAAAAAGTATATATTCAAATTTCATCGAACATTGAAACCGGCAATCTCTGGGTTGATCTTAATCAGGGTATGGTTAAGTCACATATTCATTTAGAAATTAGCGTGATAGGAACCGGAGAACCCGGAGAAAAGTCTTGAAATAAAAGGAGAGATTTAACAAACTCTAGTAACATAAGATGCCGAGTATAGGACTGAATCGAACGCGAGACCCCAGAGATGAGAGGTGGAAGGCGAGTGCACTATACTATTAGTGTAAATTGGATGTTTGTTCATACTTTTTTGATTCAATCATTCTTTTCTTCTGTATTTTAGAATAAGGAATAAAATATTTCCACGTTAGAATACAGTTTGTGTATGTAGTTTTTATAAGGAACATTAGTAAGTGAAGAAGATCTAGACGAGTGATGTGTGATCAGTGGGGCTGTTGATAAAAATTGGGATGTTATGTAATCATGATATAAGAGCAAAGCAACAGCTGTAATATAAAAGTCATAAGGTTTAGTGATAAAAATGTCTTAAAATGACAGCATGATAATGTAAATTCTAATTAAAACAATTTGCAGTTTATATTTGAAAGTGTTGAAAACGTTTAGTGTAAATGCAAAGTCTCATTTTTCTTTCCTTTCCGTCGTGTTTCCCGCTCTTTTTTTAAGGGCGTTTCACTCGATTTCTGTCGTTTATTCGTTTTGGTAAGAAATCTGCCCGTATTCGAGTTTTCTCAAGGACAAGGAAACTTTAYATAACGCATCTTAACTTTTAAAGTGCTGCTTCTTATTCTATACTTATGAATTTTATAAAAAGAAGAGTATTGCTTTCTAAAAATATATTGGTGTTCGAAAATCACCGGAAATCATGAATTACCGGATCGAGCAGGCATTTCTAGGGTTTTTCTTGTTCGATATTCCGCACTGAACGAAATCAAAATTAGGCCATATTAATCCTTCATAGTTATTTGAATGGGGTTGCCGTGATTGTACATACAATAATGACGGAAATTACAAGCAAATTGGTTAAGACAAACCTTGGAACGATTTTGTACCAACATTGTCCTCGTTGAGGCCATAAGATAAAACTGAATCAAGTTATATTGAAATTTCAGGTAGTACGATAGTGAGCCTCTACATAAACTGAATGAATACAAACACAAGCAGTACGCAAGAAGGCTAGGCTATTTGTAACAAACAGTTACAGATAAAAAGATTGACTTGGAAAGATAGATATCAAAACGAATTGCAAAGACGAAAATAGGAAGACAGCTTATTTAATCAAAGTCTCGGCAGACACCGAAAATGCTAAGCTTCTTTTGCAGTAAATGAGATTAAAATCAAAATCAAAATGTCCTTTTTTTAAAACGTAGATCATATGACGTTTTTGTAGTATCAAATCAGTTCTTGGCAGGTTCCTACTGTCGTTCATTTTGCAGGATTTTTCTTTTTACGAAATTAAATGAAATTTGAGTTTTGCTCTAAAAATAAGCAGCTGCGTGTGAGCCGGTTATCAGTGAAATGGGTTTACAAAAAAGTTAAATTTCACAATTGCAATCAGCTAGCCCAAGGGGTTATTTTTTTCTACGACAGTTTAGCTTTAAGAGTACTGAACAAGTATAACAGTTATTAACAGGTCTTACATTTGCGTATATTCAACTGGCAGTTTTGTTGTTAGCGCCAAAATATATAAAGTCCAATTAGGTTACTTTTACCAATTTTTTTTTTCTTTTCAAAATTTGATATGTTTTTTAGTAACATTGAATGTTTATTTTGGGGTTTATTTCAGTAAAATGTGTTTACAAAAAAGTTAAATTTCACAATTGCAATCAGCTAGCCCAAGGGGTTATTTTTTTCTACGACAGTTTAGCTTTAAGAGTACTGAACAAGTATAACAGTTATTAACAGGTCTTACATTTRCGTATATTCAACTGGCAGTTTTGTTGTTAGCGCCAAAATATATAAAGTCCAATTAGGTTACTGTTACCTTTTATTTTTTTTGTCTTTTCAAAATCTGATGTTTTTTAGTAACATTGAATGTTTATTTTGGGGTTTATTTACTAACGAAGAATCTAGGTATTCGAGCAAATCCATTCAAGTCAAACGCAAAAGAAAATATCATTAAGTAAAAACATCTACAAGAGACAATCAAATAGTGATACGAGAGAGTTTTTTTCGCAGTGAATTCAATCATTTGATCAGGAAAGGTTTTTAAAGAGCACAATGGAAATCTCAAGACAAAACGTTATAAAAACTAGTCATTAGGAAAATATATTAATTGAATATCAATTTWAAAAAAATAATTTCATATCATGAAATTCGGAGCCGTACTTACGGTATTTCGAAGAAAAATGATTATGTTTTTATGTTGACCGTGTGTTAGCTTGGAGATGTATTATGAACACAATACTGAGTGGTGACCAGCTTTCTTGTCCTGTCAAAGTTTATCTACATCACTTATGGATCTGATCAAAATGTTTCACCCGAGCTGCCTTTTAAAGAGCTCTCATTATTCACGAGCGCTATGATTCGTCAAGCCTGATAATATTATTGTTAAACAAGGCAGACGTTACTTGAATATACACAATCACTTTCTTGCATTGCCCTAAAGCGATTTGTTGTTTTAAAACCTATATTTCCTTGGGCTGATCGTTTTAAAAAAATATTTTTTTCTTAAATTCAGTTTTATATAATGAATTGTGTTAATGATGATCAAACCATTTACTGGACTTTAGAGCATCGCCATAAAGCAGCAATCACAAAATTAGGCCTAGTCGAAATAGAACTTCATCATAACATCACCATCGTCACCATAACCTGTATTACATCACTAACCATCGCCACCATCATTCACATCACGAACTACCACTACCACTATCACTTGTATCATTGCTATCAATATACGCCACCATCACCATCACCTCCACCCCCATCACTAGCATCCCTAACCACCACCATCACTTGTACCATTACCATCATCAA